AACTTGACAAAAAAAAGTTTGACTTGCATAAATCCCATAATTGCATCCTTTTGTGGATGGAAGCAGCAACATCTAATCCTAGGCAATCTAAACACCTCCAGATTCATTCGTCTTTGCTGATCGATCAACGGATCCGTCAGATCTGCATGCATCGAGAACAACGGTCGTTGGATGCATGCAGACATAATTGACACGTACGAACGGCTAAACTCCCCTTAATAATAATTTGATAATTCGAGCCATATGTAAACATGCATGCATGGTCGTCGATCGTATGCGTGCATGATTAGGCAGTGCCGGTACGCGAAGGGCGCCGCTTGCAATCGATGATGGTGATCGATCTGGCGATCCAGGTGTGCATAAAAAAGAATGGAAATCCGTTGATAGAAAAGAAAGATATAGCAGAGACAGAGAGAGAGAGAGCCCATAGCTTGCGTGCTACGTAGGGACTACCTTGGGAGTTGGGAGGCATGCTTCGCTCATAATTCAGGGGAGGGCCCAATTCTACACGATATTTAGCTTTTGTCTAATTGCATGCATAAACAAACACATGGATTGCTCTAATTAGTGAAGGCAATGCTCTCATACATTTGTCATAAAAAGTATGTATGATATGTCGATGAGGACATAGCTAGATATGTGACTGGCTAGTAGCTAGCTAGTCATATATTCTTCCATGCATTTGTGTTCAACGTTCTCACTTGCCCATTCCGTTCCTTCCTACTTTCTGCACGCGTATGTGAATTGTTAAATTGTCCTATATATGCTCAAAATATTGAGCTTATCATATCACTTCCATGCCATTCTAGCTAGTTGTTTCTGCTCCCCCTAGAATCGTAGATGCAAAAAGAGTGTCGGTTTTGGCCATTGACGCAGTTACCAATATACTAGTGCAATACACAATTTGATGACAAATTTAGCTATACCATTTTCAAGAGTTCAACCGAAATATTTTAAAAGACGTTGATGGTTACCTTTTAACATGCTGGTTGCATGATACCTAAAACGACACTCTTTTCTGAATTAAGATGAATAGCAATTTCTTGTTATGCATGTAGCAAATGGCATTGTATCGTATCCCCTTTTTCCTGTTACTAATTGAAGACTTCACAATGTTCACAATAATCTCCACTAGACATTTTAGGGGGAAAATCCAACAAATTCTTTAAAAAGATTCGAAATATCTAGCCATCAAGTTTCGTAAAAAAAAAATCTACCATCAATTCTTCATAGACTCTAATCACCATTTACAATAATAGACAAATCTATTTGGTTTATAAAAGTGGTGCCCACATTTACCATTATGAAATTAAAAAGAACATAAAGTAACCATTTTTCGAAAATCACTAGCAGGACTTCTTCCAGGATAATATATTAATAGAGGAGAGAAGAACATAAAGTAACTCTCTAAATCATTAGAAAAGATATTCTAAATAAGATAATCCCTAAATCTATATCTAAATTACCCATGTTTAACATTCTAAAAGATAATCAAAATATGTAGTTGCTAAATTTATTCAAGAACTTCTAGTACTTATGTCTCATAAGATTCTAACATGTGAGCTCATGTTGATAGATTATAGTTTAAAACAGACCTACTGATGAGGTTTAGTAAGGAGTAATACAGCCGTTGGCATATAGTTAATTGCCAAACATATGAGCATATAATAAAGGCTAACCTTGCTATTCAAAATGTAACTCTCATCACTCATCAGGGCCTCCCAAACTAATACTTTGGCCATTAATTTTTGTATCATATATATTACATCTAACATGGTAGTATAATAAAACTCGGACTGTGGGGGATAGCATGCGCCCTCGAGCATTTCGCATTAAGGTAGAGGACTTTTCACACAGTCCGAGAAAACCCCCGAACCTCGTACCCTGCCCACACACAGGGGCCCGTTACCCTGTGAGTGGGCCGGTGCCACAAACCTGCGCTTTGGGTTATGCGGGGCAGACGAGGTTTTTTTTTTACCTCCGACACTGCAATTCGCCCCGTGGGAGATCGAACCCAGGCAGCGAGGGTGCCACCCGTAGTGCTCAACCAGCGGATCTAGCAACAAAGCCACAAAAATACATTAGAAATGAACTCTTAGTTAAACCAATTTTGTGTAACAAATTCACATGTAACTAGACTAATTCCAGCTAAACCGATTGGCTATATATATGCGCACACTGCCCAAATGTCCCATGTGGCACCTAAAAGTTCCATTTGAGTACCAAAAGGAAGGATATGATAAGCCCATTTTGACTCTAGAGAACAGAAGCCTACTATGTGCAATCAACGATATCATTCAGTTGATCTTTCAAAAAAAAAGATATCATTCAGATTGAGATAGTCAATCTTAGAGATGGAACTGTCGTCCCTTTCGACACTTTCGTATCACCAAACAGCTGGAGTTTATATATATCTGTCATCTGTCTTTAACGATCCAAATGCAAAAGTTGCAGTCTGGAAACAAATAGAACTGCAGGCGCGTGCTGCAAGAAATTTAAAATCAGCTGTAGACGAGGGATAATCATTTACGATAACCACTCTGATTTATTTGTCCGATGAATTCCTTAATTCCTTTCACTTAACGAAATACGTGCTAAGGTATGTTCGCAAATTCAGGCATCCATACCTATAGTATGTGATCGTTCACCTTCGGCCCCTCGCCTTCAACATTTGCCTATCCATCTTAATCGTAGCAACTTGTACGAGGTGACATAAAGACTAATGGTATGGTTATGACTTGTCAGAGACAATTTACGACGATATATACACAGCATGCGTGTTAGCTAGACGAGTCAGTAGATGGATGGATAGATAGATAGATAGATAAGATAATCACGCATGCATGCTTTGGGTTTTGCTTTTCCGTAGGTTCAGTAACTTGCTTGTGAGCTAAGGGAGGAGGAGATTAAAGAAAGCAGCGGGTAGAAGCAGACTAGCAGCTGAGAGACAGGGGCAGGGGTACGTCACATGTGCCTCGCCTTTGGTAAACACGCGACATTATCATCGCCGGTCGCAGTCTGCAGGTGGATTAACAACACGATGACTCGCCAGCGTTGGTCATTATCCAACGGAACGGAACCCCCCTGCTGGCCCCGGCCCTAACCTCACCTCGCTCAGATCCGTCATCATTCAGCAACACGGGTCGCTGTTGCGTTGTAGTACTGCTCCTATGTGTTCTCTTGATGGCCGCTTCTTGCCTCGCTGGGGTATGCTGACGGACTCTGGCCATTGATTTGGCCTAACCAGTCCAGTGACAGTCAGGCTTTGATCAGGCTCTTGCATTTGCGTTGCGTCGCAACCCACGCCACGACGCCACGCCCGCGACATGTAGCCTGTTCGGGAGGTCGTATCGTATCGTGGATTATTTACTGTTGGCTGATTTGGTGTGAGAGAAAAACACTGTTCCTGACTAGAAATTTACGATCGTTTACGGGCAAGCGAAAAGGCTGATGATTTGAGTCGTGCCGCTCCAATCACCCGGAGGAAGGGCGACCGTGTGTTTCCCGAGAAAGCAGGGGGCCGGCCGTGCCGCCGAGACGCTGCTGGCCTGTGCTTGCCAATCCATCTCCCATCGGCATCGGGTGCTGACCGAGGACAGGCCATCAGGGCAGGCAGACGCGGCCTCGATCTGGTGGCGCTCGACCGAACCGCTCCAGCGCTATGATGCACGCACGCCGTGGGCGCCTCGCCTCGCTGCTTTCGTTTCTCACACAAGCAAGCTGGCGTCTGGGCATGCTTTCGAGCGAAACGGAGCAGCCGCAATTTTTGTGGGACAGGACTTTTCAGGTGAACCTGTGTGCGCGGACGAGCTCCTAGCTCAGTTGGTAAGCTGCCCATATTACGAGTCTTACATGATAGGCCAGTGCTCCTGGCTAGTTTTTTTTTTAAGCTGTGTGTGGCCATTAAACCTCTTCCGTTATGCTGTTTTCGCCCGTCAGTCAGTCAGGCTTTGATCAGGCTTCCGTTCTGACAATATATTCCTATAATCATGCTGTTTGGCCATAAACCTCTTCGGTTTTCTATTTTTTTTATTTATCATGCTGCATTCCGATGCTCAAATATGTACGTACCACTGTACTACTTTTGTTTAGCACACCACTGTACCACTTTATTATACAAAAAATGGCTCTATACGGGCCTCAGGGATAATGCGATCAGACCAAGCCCTATTGACTTTTCTGGGCCTAATCCTTCTCATTGATGCCGACATAACTACAGCCCATTTAGGATCCACCAGAGTATGGTGGTCCATCTCCAGCGTTTCAGAGCCAGCCAATCATCACACAACCTCCTTGTCCTTGCTTCACTGCATTTTGTTGCTTATAAACGTCATGCAGCCAAATGAAACTCTGTGCGCTCAAGACTCAATCAAAGCAAGGAGAAATCTCCTACAAATGCGGATGGCGGGAACCAGCAAATGAAAAAAGAATGCAGTCAACCAGAACATCGGGGAACAAAAAAATATGAATCATCCTTGTTTCATAAATTAAATTTTTTGTCGCTTCTGAAGGCAGTAGAAGTTACAAAATTGCCTCACAAATTTTCTCGCCACATGTAACACACCTCCGGAGCTCAAAATCATCTGTAGCACCCTCCAAATTCGCATTGCTTGCAGGTATCCATTTAGCTTCTCGAAACGAATTTTCTTCTGTGGCGTGGGTGCAGAAGTGCAATCTGGCTGGATGGACGTTCCACTGTAATGCTTGTGTGATCTTCTATAACATCTAAAGGGCAAGACATCAACCACCTACTCTACAAGTCCTCTTTCTCGTCTTTTAGTCGGATTGGGTGAATTGCAACTCCATTTTGGGCCGATCGAATTCGTCCCCATCTTCCAAGGCGAGGCTCCTGATGGAACAGAAATTTAGTACAGAGCTTGAGATTCCTACATTCACGATCACAGTGTTGTGATGCAAAAGGATGAAAAGAAATTGTATCCTTCCACATGGTTCAGCTTGTAGAGCTTAGCAGAACAAAGAGCTTAAAATGCAAAGGATACCTAGTTCATACGCTCCTATGAAACAAGTTCACATAAAGGATCTCTCCATACCATGAGAAGGTTTCAATGAAGTCTACAAAGTATCTGAGCAGTAGTACATACTGACCTGGCCAACACCAGCAACAATAAAACGTCCAGATTTTGCTATGGCAAGAGAATTAACAAATCCATCCTGGCATGACAAAAAAAAACATATATCAGCGACACATAGCAAGGAAAAGTACAATGCTCAACATTCTTTTACATTGTTAGAATGAAAAATTAAATTGAGCAAAGGACAGCTAATCAGCAGAACATGCAGCAGGTGCAGTATCTGTCTGGAGTAAATTCCAGACGAAATGTCTGACCTCTCCTTGGGAAAACTTATCACAAATCAAACAAAAACAAATTGGTATCCAGCCTGAAACCACAGGCAAGGGTTCATATATCAGCGCATGGCTCAGAAATTACATTGTGACCCATAATTTGACCTGAAACGACTTCATGGCTGTGACAGTGCATTTTTTTTATCTTCTATTAAATGAGTGATTCCATGGACTTCCAGGAATACACAGGATGAAAGATTATGACAACAAAGCCAGTATATGTTGGAAAACACATCTGACAGCTTGCAGATTTACCTGAGCCTGATTCCAATGGCTGAAGCAACAAACTGCTTTAACATCCTACCCAACAGCCCCAATAAGCAGATTCTGCACCATCATAAGCTGTGCCAAACAGGGCCTAAGCCTAATACGGGATGCAAGATACTATGTTGGAGAATACATATCTCAAGTACTAACATTGTCATGGAAAAGCAGGGGAGAAGACAACATTGTCATGAAAAAGCAAGGGAGAAAGAAGACTACAGAGGTGATAGCGGAAAGCGCTTATGAATTTCTTTCACTAGGTAGGGGCTGATTTCTAAAGCAGCTGGGTTGTACAGACTGAAAAAGGTTCAAAATTTTAGTAAGTGTTTAGTGAGCTACAAATGATTATTTTCAGTTGTCCTCTGACTTATAAAATATGATAGTCACTTGGGCAAGCAGATCTATTCCCAGAAAGGAGTGCCAAAAGTGCTAGTGAACATAACTGAAGAAGGATGAATAAAAAATGTACCTAGTGAAACCTATCTAAGGGGACTCCAAAGCTTGATAAAGTACAATCTATCCATTTGCAAGGTGTTTCTTTTTGCAAGTTTTTTAGTTTGTCATTTCAATGTCATCATCAATTAGTAACAACATCAGCTGCATGGTCCCTTGATCTTCAGTTTAAAGTGCTTGTGGGCATTACAGTGAGCAGCAAAGAAAAATTTGTTCGACTGAAAAAATTGCAGATACAGAGGAATACAAAACATCACCCGCCAAAAACATATTAACAATGCAGTGTTTGTGTGGTGAGTTACTAATAAAGCACCTCTACAATGAAGAAGGCGCTATCAGCGAAACTCCCAGGGAACATCGATCTTGGCCTCCCATGAATCAGAAGAACAGCTAAGCGAGTTAATCTGGGATTATGAAGGCCATGTATGCAAATCAACACTCAGCTTCGAGCACGCAGAAAAGTCAGACACAGAGCAGTAGGCGTGCAGGTCGAAGAATATGTGGAGAGCCACATGGGTCCACCTCAAAGCAGATCGAAGAGAGGCAGATAGATAAATCGACAAGCGGCTCCAAAGAGTCTAAGGCCTTGTGTGTTTCAGACGAGCACAGATCGATTAAAGCTTGTCTAGGATTGTCAATGGCCACGTCCAATCGCACTGGAAATGAAACCATGGCTCTGCTCATTGATAAAAGGAATGTGAAAGAAACAGATTTGTTCAAGAACCCATCTGCCATCTCACAATAGGACACCATGTGAAGGATGGGACAAAGCAGAGAGGATGTTGATTTTCTCTACGCCCGCAACGGAACTGAGATGGCATGAGCAAGAAGCCATCCAGTTCTCTCAAAGACGATGGCTTCTTTAACCCCCACGAATTAGAATCACAACAACAGCCACAGATTCAAACGCAAAACCAAAAACATGGAGCTCAGGCGAGAAAAACAAGAAACAAAGAAAAAAACGAAGATCGAAAGCTTGATGAAGTACGGCGGTGGCGGCGACACCATTGTCAGGATTTCGATCCGGTGGTTTGGTGTATTTGATCAAGCACAAAAGGTAAGTTCTAAACTTGAGGAATCCATAAAGGAAAATGATGTGAACGCCATCTATTGAGTGCTTTTGAAATTTACGAGATCAAGTAGGTGGTCATATATAAGTGGATGCTACGGAGAGTAAAATAAATAAGGGGGAAAATGAGAAAGTGGCACCAAATCTGCATACATGCTTAACACAAAATGCTGAGCATCTCCAAGAGTTCCCTAAATCCCTTCCTAATCCTTGGTTTTTAGCAAGATGAGAAGAAAACCCTCTCCAACAACTCCTAATCCATCCTCCTAATCTTTTAGAACTTGGGAAAAGTCACCATGTTCTGTGTAAAGTTACACGCTTCCGAGTCGCGCGTATCTTCTCTCCACGCGCGTGTTTGTCGGTCAATCTAAAGGTGGAAGGATGTGGAAAGAATAAAGAGTAGGAAAGGGTTCATGGTGCAAATGTACAAGAGAGAAAGAATATATAAAAGTGGTTAGGATAATTTAGAAATAGTATAGGATTCCTGATGTAAAATTGTCTTCTATATTTTAGGAGTGGATTATTAGAAACTCTTGGAGATGGTCTTTTTTATTCCTTCTAATACTTTTTTAAGAGTTGTAAAACACCATGTTTTTGGGAAGAAAATATTAGGTACTCTTGGAGATGCTCTTAGCTTGTATAATAGGCCAGGTGGAGTAACCATCTAAAACTCTATATTTTCTGCTCCCTTATTCACAGATAGTAGCCAACCCAAATGACCCATAATATGGACTCCGACAAATAGCTATACAGGCTAAAGTTCGCTAAGGTACCCAAAGTATTAAGAATTAATAGATACAATTAGATTTGTTAAGGAGACAGTTGACAATACATTAGACATTTGAAGAATGTCTGATTCAGAATTACACTCTACAGAATTCCAACTAATAAACACCTTGAAAATTGAAATAATAGTCATTGTTTATCTGCACAGTCAGCAGAGAACATATATGCCCCTGGACATTCCAAAGCAACAACTCCTTACCTTCTACTCCCTCCATTCACAAATAAATGATGTTTTGGGGTTATCTGAAGTCAGCCATTTCAAACTTTTATTACAAATTATGGTTTTTTTGTTGTTGTATTAGTTAGGATATTGAAATGATACAAGATTCCTGTTGAAAATTAGTTTACATGATAGTATACTTTTGCCATGTGTTACAAACATACTGTAGCAAAAACTAGTGGTCAAAAAATTGTGTTCTGGAGATCATGTCTGTGTCCAATTGTCCAGAACATCACTTATTTGTAACTGGAGCGAATATGATCGACTTAGAAACTACCAAAGGACCTAGACTGATTTAAGAAATCCCATTAATGTCCTTTAATTGAGCACATGTACATGTCAAGTCTCAACAATAGATAGCAAGATGAAAATGCATTGATCACTTAATCTTTGATGGATATAATACAGGACTACATTCAGCAAAATGAATCGAGTAACAAGAGTAGCATACCAGTTTCAAATCGAATAATGGCTCGACTCCCTTGGAATCAGGTTTGATAGCCCAGAGACGAACTAAACCATTTCCTGCTCCTGATGCAGCAAGGTCAGAACCTCTTCTTGCAGCAACAGTACCAACCCATGACTGGGCTGCGGATGCCACATTTTCAGGTTTATGTATTCCATTTTCTGCATGAAACATGAGATATAAAGCATTAAGGATTCCACAAATATAAATTACAAGTATAGTAGTAAAACCATGATGCAAAGTGGTACTTCCTCCATTCCAAGTTACAAGTCATTCCAAGAATCTTGGAGAGTCAAAGCATCTTAAGTTTGATCAAAATTATAGAGAAAATTACAAAGATTTATAACATCAAATAGGTATACTATAAAAATATAATTAATGAAGAATCTAATGATACTTAGTTGGTATCATAAATATTATTATCTTATCATATATATTTGGTCAAACTTAAGATCTTTTGACTCTCCAAGATTCTTGGAATGACTTATAATTTGGGATAGAGGGAATACTAAAACTGAAGGCCATCTTAACAATAATTGAAGAGATGATGAAAAGAAAACAGACCAGTGAACACAGGAATTTCACAGGAATCAGTTCAATTCACATGAAAAATGCAGGAGCAGGGATTTTTCCCGCGTTCCAAACATAAAGGGGATGTCATCTTACCTTTAGGTGACTCATCATCATTGTCAACTGAATTAAGGTTAGTACACGATACTGGATGAGCATTTTTTATTATGAGAATAGGCTTTTTCCTCATTATGCTCCAAAGCTCAATGCTTCCATCATCAGATCCAGACAAAAATTCCTTGTCATCAATAAAGCAGCAGCACTCTAAAGATGCGGCAACAGGAGCACGGAACACTAACTGCGACTCTTCTGGAATCTGTCCAAGAACAAGGAGACTTCAATTGACAGAGTAAACTGTAGTATCTACAACATGAATCCATCACATCCGCTTATTAAATGATAAATAACTAACTGAAGGATCCTCCTACAAACCACAGTCTGCCAGAGGTTTCCTAAATCCTAAATAATTTTTTTAAAAAAAAAAACTAGAGGTTTGCATCATACACAAACACAAACACAGCTTGAAATTACTGTGTGTATGAAAAAGCAATGCCATATAGTTAATACTAGAGAATCTACATCACTTCTCATGAACTATTTTTGTCATTGCTTTGACAAGAATAGTGCATGTGACATTGCTTTAGGTGAATCCTCAGCAAAACTTGCAAATAATCAAAGTTTATAAAATAATCATAATTTATAAAAAATAATAAAAACCTCAGCAAAACTGTAGCATTTATGCCAGCATTCAGTAGTGATTGGTCTAACTAAAAGCATGTAGTTTCTGAAAACCAAAGAAAAATGGAAGAGGCAAGTCATACAGGATGGCACCAGTGTTACTGCTGTGAACTAGAGGGCTAAATGGTCTTTGGGCAATGGGTACCATAGTGGTTTGGAAACAGATTTTCCATATAAAGCCTAGTGATCCTTTATTAGATAATTTCATCCAGTTCAGTGGAAGAAAACCTTCTGCACTCTATGACAGCTGGGTGACAAACATGAATCACGTATGTACTTAGTTACAACACTACCTTCCAAAGGTGCATCGTACGGTCCCGTGCTACAGTTAGAATCCTATCTTTACTAAGTGCATCCATTGTCAGGATTTCATTCTGATGCCCATATAAACAGTTCATGTATGTTCTATCCTCTGCATTCCACTGCATTATTGAACGGTCAAAAGAACCAGAGAATAGCTCTGAAGAGTCCGGCCCAAAAGACAGACATGATATTGGTCCCCGATGGCCGCTAAATGCCTGCAAAAACAAATAATTGCATTATTGATCAGAGTTAGCCAGTTAGGTAGACTGGCTCCAGAAGAAGTTCAGCATAACAATTGGCTCAGAAAGCATCTCAGCTTAACTATACCTACAGTTTCTTTTATATTCCAAAATTTCTCTTATATGATATGATTTCTTCAGTGTGTATTACATGATAATTGTGGCTCGCTATAGCAAGGTATGTTTTTTTTGTTCAGACGACATATTACACTGATTATATTCTAACCTGGAAGCAATGTTCAAAAAGACGCTAGGCAGTATCTAGGCGGTGACCTACCGCCTAGAGCCTAAGCATGCCCCAAAACAGGGCGATGTATAGGCATTTTCTACGCATTCTACACATATACATATATTACCTTAAATAAAAGAGAAAACAGGGCACTGTGGACTGAAAGTTAGACAAAAAAGCCCCAAAAAAGCCCAGCCCACCTTTCCCTCCCAGGTGCACGCATCCACCTTATCTTCTAGATTCACGGATTCTGCTTTCCGCCCGCCTCCTCCCTTCCATCTCCGCAGCCACTAGCTTCCTCCTGGCTGCAGTCTCCGCTGCTGCGAGGCTGCGCCTGCCGTCTCCGATGCCGCGCGGCCACGCCTGCCGTCTCCGACGCCGCACGGCCGCGCCTGCTGTCTCTGCCTGCAAGCAGCCCACCATCCATGCCTCCTCCCACACCACCCCCGCTGTTCCCACCTCCTCCTCCGGTGCCCCTGCTGTTCCCACCTCCTCCCCCAGCGCTCAGCATCCTTACCTTCGCGGATCTGCTTGTAGGAACACCGGGGATGGCATGTCCAGCCGCCACGGCCGACAGACGCCGCCTAGGTACCGCCTACCCCCCTAGGCTCCGCGGTACCCCATCGCCTAGCGCATAAGCGCGCCTAGGCGACCGCAGAATAACGCCTTTTTGAACACTGCCTGGAAGCATTGGATCTGGTTTCGTTTCACCATATTTAATTTATGATTAGAACTGGATTATGTATTACTCAATTTCTAAACAATATTGTGGATAGCCAAGAGTCAACTGCATTTCATAAGAAATGTTCAGCATGTATTACATCTAAAAGACATTTATGAACATTGATGAATGATGCTCAAAGTGCATGGAGAATATGGGTAGATTTGATCCAACCAAACTGCCTTCCAAATACATCTCAAACTTGCAAAGTACAACTCCTAAATCGGTGTCATACCTGTATGTGTTCCCGTGACCTAACATCCCATAAATGGATATGACGGTCCAAGCCACCGCTCGCCAAGTAACGACCATCAGAACTGGCAGCTAAAGCCAGCACTTGCTTGCTTCTTTTTGCTGATACTGGTGGTTTAGCATGATGTGAAACCAACACATTTTCACTTGGCCATATATACTTCTCACATTTCCCAGTTTCAACATCCCAATGCATAATGATTCCATCTTTTGATGCTGAAAATCCCTTATCATTATCCTTGGATAAAGCAACAGCAGTAACAGGTTGCCGGTGCTTCACAAGAACCTTAAAGCCATCCTGAGGGCCCGGTGGTAATACCCTGCAACAATTTCACAAAGTTTAGTAATTTGCACTAGTCCAGACACAGTTTCTATGGTCAGCCGTACACATAGAATTTCAATGTTGAACTTAAATAGATATGGCATTCTTTTAATAAGGCTGTTTAGTAAATGCTTATAGAATGCATAAAGGATTCAGTTGTTATGACATGGCATTCTTTTAATAAGGGCCATCATTGTTATGACAGTAGAGACCATAACCATATTCCATCTCAGATAATTGATTCAATACTGACAACTTCAGCACCTTCCACTTCAATATATTAATCATATCATATGGTCTCCAAGCAGTCAAAATGTAATTTCTTTTCTTCCATGTTTCAAGTTTCAAAAGATTTATGTACACTAGCCAAACAGATCCCACCTGAACTAAAATATGACTCAATGCAACCAACAGCGCCAAAGAAAGAGGTGGAAATGAACCTTAGTCCCCATCATGCAAACAGATTCATGCTAACTAAATTGCTCATTTTGTAAATAATACGACAAAAAACTTATGTTTGAGGGCACTTTCAAGCATTAAAAACAAACACATCATGCAAAAACATTAGCATCTAGGTGGGAAATGAGGTTATTACTCTATGGTTTCCTGGTATATTTCAGTAATCCTCAAAGTATTGAAGTTATCTCTTATTCTATAAATCAGCAGGGACCTGCTATAATACAAGCACCTAGTTTTTCACTTCTCAGGGGATGCGTAGGAACTGTCTGATCCAAATCAAACATGAAACCGAAGCATTTTCCAGCTTCACTCAGTTCTGAGCCACCCCCCCCCCCCACCCCCCCCCTCCCTTCTGTTCTCCTCAGGACGTGGCCACGGCATCCCCACTGCCACATTAATAACTCTCAAGGTCCACCGCCCACTGCTGGCTGGCGGCACCCCGCCTCACCGGTCCACCTGCCTCCCACAAGTTTCTGCTTCTTTCTAAGCCCGGATCACCCAGTAGCCTGAAAACCCAAAACCCTAACCCCTTCCAACCACCACTCAACATTGTTGTGCCATCACCTGAAATTTCACAAATCTCAGTCGCCTGATGTATAGGAATTGTGTAAAATGAATACACAAGTGCCACTTTATGTTAAATATAGCATATACAAGCCCAAACCAGTGACCAGCATTTTCGTTTAATTAATCCCTAGGCCACAAATGGTGTTCCTTTTCTTAGCACTGATTTGCAGCACCCTCTCCCAACCCCAATGTCAGGAATGCAATGTAATTTGCTTCAAGGGGAATTAACCAGTAGCTAAAGAGCAATCTCCACTCCAATCACTACCCAATAACTAGAAGGGAATTTGTTTCTGACCTCGCAGCAATCTCCCTCCGCTTCCTGCCGCTCTCCTCGAGCTGCTTCCTCTGCAGGATCTCCGCCACTCGTCTCCCTCCCGACTCGTCCTCGTCCTCGTCGTCATCCTCCTGCCCCCTCTTAGCGACCTCAGTGACCTTCTGCAGCCACTCCTTCGCCATACGCATCTTCTTCTCCCCCACCGTCTCCTCGTCCTCCTCCTCTTTACCGCCCTCGTCCCCATCCTCATCAAATCCGCCGCCAAGCGCAGCCACGCCGTCATCGTCGCTGTCCTCGCTCTCGATGTCCTCGTCACGGTCCCCGCGGCGGCGCTTGGGCTCGGACTCGAAGAAGGGGTCGTCGTCCCCTCCGCCGCCGCCACGTCGGGAGCCCGGGCGGGGCTTGGGGCGCGAGGCCCGCTTGCGGGGTCGCGGCGCCATGGTGTCTGGTGGAGAGAGCAAGCGTTCACGCTTGGGTTAGGATTTCGGTGGAGGGCGACGCGGTGTTTCGCCGCCGCCGCCGGCGGTGGTGAGCGCGAGAGTTTGGGGGAAGCGAGGAAGGAAGCGACGGGCGGCGGAAAGGCGAGGGTTTAAGACAGGAGGAGTTGGGGAACCGTTCGGCGGCGGCGGCTAACCTGGCTTTTGGACCGGATGGGGTTGAATAGAGTCTGGGCCGGGCTTCTCTCTGAATGTAAATTGGGTCGAATTGCTCCTATATTTTCTACATTTGTTGGGCCCTCATACTGTGACTGAAAACGGGGCAGTTATACTCGAGGGCCTTTGCTTATCGATGTGAAATGATGCAAGTTAGTGGTAGGGATTGACAATGAACGTGGATCTAGGATTCACCATGAATCACCAAAGTGACTGAGTTCGATCCCAAGTCTATAGTACCCGAACTTTGTACGTTTACTTCAATTATATGCCTCAGGTAACCGAATTAACCAAACATTTGGAATTTGTTGTCATAATATGTACTTTAGACTATTATTAGTGATATAATATTTATTCTAGTGGGTTTATATCAACCATCACTCTTATCACTTTGTTTAATCTATATGTTGTATTGTTATTTTTGCCTTGAAATAGAAAAAATATTGCTAAAATTTGCTACAAATTATAATATTTAGTAGCTGTTTTGTCTAGTCCGGTTAGTTCAGTCATGATCGAGACCGAACCAAACTAACTGAGACCGAACTTGCTCGGTCCTGAGTTCTCAAACTAACCGATCGGTCTCTGTTTTTAGATGACCGAACTTTTGAAATGACCGAAGAACTGATCAGTTCGGTTCGGTCAGGCCAAACGCCTAGGCCTACTGCTAGGAAACTGTTTGGCTACGCAGCAGCTCCAGATCCACACACAAGCATTTCCGTTGGAATGGACATATTTGCCCTTGGGCTCTAGCATTTCTCTAGGTCTCACTGACACCTGGACCCACGCGTCAAGAGGAAAAAAGGCACATGTTTCTTCTTCCTTCGACGAGCAAGCTCGTAGGGGCCGACCGGGGGCATGCTCGCGCTCGAGGGGAGCGCGCAGGGCCAGAGCAGCGCCGGCCGACCACGGCCGGGCGGCGACGGTGAAGGCAACCACGGCATGGTCGTAGTCACGACGGAGGAAGAAGCGCGTGTCCTGGAGCAAGTCGTGACGGAAGACGAAGAAAAAAATAAACGAATCAGTATCTTCTGTAATATGTGGTAGTGGTTGGTAATTTTCTCCAACTCCATCAAACTCAGTTTGGTAGAGCACCCCGAGGAGCTCTACCAAAATGGTGAATGTGCCCTAGATCCATGTAAAACACATGCACAGAGCACATTGAAACTCCAGATCCAACGCCGCTCGCGCTTTGGTCGATAACTCGTTTGATGACGAGTGGCCCTATCTGGGCCAGGGAGCTAGCGGCCGCACCGCACTGGGGCTGTCAAATACGAAACTTCCTCGGCGGGTGCTTGCGCACGCCAAATCCTTATTCGACGTGCGTGCACCTGTACTGTTACCGACACACACCGGCTTCCTCTTGGTTAGGGGAGGGCGGGGGTTGCGGGGGCAGGCGAGGTGTGGGCGGAGCGGCATGGCAGTGTCCTCGACGCTGACCGCAGGCGGTGGTTGAGGCTGGTGGCGCGCGGGGCGGCACCTATTAGGGTTAGGTTTTGAGATTGGAGAAATCTTCAACATCCACGTGCTCTAAAGGCAGTGACGAAGCTAGAGTAAAATAGAGAGGGGTGCGACTACAAAGATTTGGTAAAATAATTTATCAAGATAAGTAAGTATATTAACATGGCCAAAGAATATTAACATAGGCAAAATGCATCATTTGAATTCGAGTAAAATATCCTTGACTAGACGGCCTAAAAGAAAGCAAACTAATGGATATCGATCATGTTTTTAATCTCTATTATTCTCTGGAAAAACTCAGCGACATTTTGTAGGTTAGAGAACATATCATATTTCACATTAGATATGTAAAGGGCCAAGCTGATGGCAAAGGTCCCTCAAATCCAGAGTGTCAAAATCATGCGGATAAAGCTTTGTATAATCATTAAGTTATATAAACTAAAATCATAAAATGACTCTATATGGTCTATTTGGATGCATAGGGCTAAATGTTACTATCTTGCTAACTTTTAGCCCTAGCACATCCAAACAAAAGGGACTAACACGGTATAACTTTATTTTGTAGAAAAAAAATCAGATTAATTGAGAAAGAGAAAAAGAAGCACAAAACATCTAGGCGAGAGAGACACCAGAGCGCCGCAGAAATGAAGAAGATAGAACGATGTGGGAGTCGAGGAAGCGGAACAACATAGTAACGCAGCAGACGGTTACTAGAACAATCGATTCTCGTAGGACTTCCTCAATCAAATTAAGCTTGCAGGTTGGTCCTCTGGCTGTGGGGTGCACGACATTGGGCTTTGGGTGCATATAGAGTCAAAACATGGGTATAATGACTAGAAAACAAAAATTAGGGTGGTACATCTGCACCCACAATGCATAACTGGGCTTCGCCCCTATCTAAAGGGATGGCTGCGGTGGCGGCTAGCTTGGCAGTGGGCAAGGCGGCGAGGCGTGGCCGAGCGGGCGACGGAGGACATCCAGATGTGTGGTACCGGCGGTGGGGGCGAGGAGTCGGTGGCGAGTTCCTCGATTGGGATTAGGGAAGGGCGGGTTCGTCCGGCGGGGATGGGCAGCAGGCGGGGAGGTCGCCGGCGAGGTCACCTTTGCAGCTTTGCTACACTTCTAAAAGCATGTCTACAACTTAAATGGTTTCTTTTTTATATCAATTTAAATGGTTTCAGTACTAGACACGTTTGTTGTCATGTTTTAACAAAAATGTGTCTACCTGTTGGGAGGTTATATGGCTAGACACGACTAATTGAGAAAGAGAAAAAGAAGCACAAAACATGTTTGAAGAAGATAGAACGATGTGGGAGTCGAGGAAGCGGAACAACATAGTAACGCAGCAGACGGTTACTAGAACAATCGATTCTCGTAGGACTTCCTCAATCAAATTAAGCTTGCAGGTTGGTCCTCTGGCTGTGGGGTGCACGACATTGGGCTTTGGGTGCATATAGAGTCAAAACATGGGTATAATGACTAGAAAACAAAAATTAGGGTGGTACATCTGCACCCACAATGCATAACTGGGCTTCGCCCACGCTTTGAAAAATGTAACTATATCGGTTGCTAAATATGTTATAAGGGCAGTCCCAACCTGAAACTAGGAGTAGTTTCCATGACATTAAATAGTATGTCAACTAAGTAATTTTGCTGACATGACAGCCGAGTTAAGGAAGAGAGAGGAAAATTGGTAGAAACCGTTTCTCAACTGAGAAACGAAGTCTACTCGTGGTCCAAGACCGAAGGAAACGATACATTATGTGTTGGGCCATCCCAGATTGTTTCCATGGCTTCCTTCCTACCTGCCACCCGAATCCCCTGCACTGAACACGTCCTCTCCTCCCACGACCGCGTGATGTTTCTTTCCTAGCCAGATATACCAAGAAGAATATGCGTTCTTCTGTATATATACTTTTTGTATGTACTTGTATATAAAAAAATATATAAAAAACTACTAGCTAGCATCCTAGTTTCTGCTACTAGTGTTATTCTATATACGTTGTTTATTTCCAAGTACTTTGAAAGCTAATGTTTAGTGTACGTGAGATGGACTGGATGTACACGTGAAGGCTATTTTATTGCTTACCATAGCTGATCCATCTCTTTTTATGGTGCATTTAAGTTCACATCTATATAGAAATTGCTATAGAAATTGTGGGCTGAGAAAGATAGTTTTTAATGTACATTAATTGCTCTTATTTTTTCTTGGAAACTATTAATAGAAATCATGGGTTGAGAGTGCCCTAATGAATCTACTTATTTAAAAGTTTTTTGTGTTGACTAATGACTAATTATTTAATTTTAATATTACTAATGATGCATTGAAACTACATAATAGTTGTTGGTCATAGAACGAACATGAGAGGTGTGAGTGGAGAGAAGGGGAGAGAGCCAAATGAGTGAGAGGCAAGGCCCCCTCTCCCCCTTTATAGGGAAGGTGGGATGGGAGGTTTCATTATTCCCCCTAGTGGGGCTTGTATTTTACGCTAGAGCTTCTCAACTATTCAGTTTTGACAATAGCTAATACATGACCCAATAGCTAAATACAATTAAGTGTGGCCCAATTACAACTCAGTCCTGACACATAGCTCTCGTCTATACAGAGACAATGTATGAATGATTTTGTCATTAGCTAGTCTTTGATGTCGACCTTCGCTCGAACCTCCGCGACCAAGTCTCTGACAGAGCCCTTGATACCTTCCTTTCATAATTGAGCCTTCACTGAAAACATTGATGTAGTTGAAGTAGGCGAGGTAGCTGTAGATGATCACAACAAATCATCAAGCTTTCACTCATGGGCACCAGGCAAGGTTTTTGTCTTCAGGTGGATTGCTTGTCCAATGCACTCCTCGCTGGCCCCTCTTGGCTTGCGCTTGTGAGAATTTCTTTTGCGTGCTTGAAGTAAATGACGTAGGTGTGGTTGATGTCACAGAGGTCGTAGATGGGGATTTCCCCACTCTAGTTGATGGTGAAGGTGAAGTCAAAGATGCTGATGGCGATCCCTCTGCTCTAAAATGTTAGCGGACTCCAATTGACGATGAAGGTGAAGTCAAAGATGACGATGGTAATCCCTTCGCTCCAAAAAGTTGGCGGAGGTGTGGTCAAAGATGTTGATGGCGATCCCCCTGCTCTAAATTGGTGAAGGCGGCATTGACTATGCCGAAGCTGATGGTAAAACCTGTTGTAGAAATCTTGACAAAACTTAGATGTTTTGGGTTTCTTATTAAGTATGAAACACTTGCACCCAAATACTCTAAAGTAGGACACATTTGGTTTGTTACCGGTTAGAAGCTCATATGAAGTTTCCTTCAACTTCTTGTGTAGGT